AAAAAATGTAGATTAAGTTACAGCGCAATTTATTTGGTAAAATATTATGCACTTCCTTAGAAAAAAATACTTAATCTTTATAAAGTATTGCGATTCCTTCGTACACCCGTTTCATAGGTTATTCGCCATTTAGACAGTTCTACATGCAAGACAGAGAATTCAGCTTTGATGGGACTGTTAGAATGTAAAACTAAATGCGATCCACGGAAGTCGACAGATGTTATTAAATATGGTGGTTTCTTTGTTCTACATTAAATTACAAAAATCTTTGTTTTATTCGCGAATGTTAGCATTGAACTTGAAAACTTCTTTTTGTACGACAGCCGATACTACTATTAAAACGTTTGATCAATACTTTTCACCACCTATGAAAGATTATAAGCCCGCAATTAAAGGTATTGCCAGAAAACGACCTTTTGTTAACTGCAGTAGAGAACAAAAGCTTAAATTCGAATTTTTTTTAGTGTTGACTAACGCGTATTTTCAAGAAGCGTTCACACGATTTCGAATAGACAAGTGGAAGTCTAACAGCATTGTACCTTTTGTTACCAATAAAACAGTCTACGTAAACTTTGTAAAAACTTTACAAATACCAAGTATGAGATGACAAAATTTATATAACGAATGACGAGGAGCTATTATGCTCCATTTATGAAAAAGCAGATATAAAAATTGTGTTTGACGCATATGAAGTTACTTATAATAATAATATTATCATGAGATACTCAGACGCTGATATTATGATTATTCTATTAAGGAGTATGTGTCACGTATAAGACCAGGTTAAAATTCAGATACTGGTTAAAGTAGGAATACAACAACAATGTTACGTCTCTACACGAATTGTACGCTACTCTCAGAAGCAATATTTGTTTGGCCCTTCATGCTCTGACGAGCTGTGATAGTAGCTCGACCTGCTTTTAAAGGATCAAAAAGAGGCCTTGGACTTTTTAAAGAAAAAATGCAATAATTTTAAATGGTTGGCTTATATGGCCGTCACGCACGTAATCGATGTTGTAGAGAAACTGATGTGTAAAATTTCCGTGTTTTATTTTATTGAGATAAACATGGCTATATTGGCAAATTTTAATAAAATTTATCCAACAAATGACAGTAACAGCACTTTGCTCATGAAGATTAAAAACTTTTATGGAGCTGGTCTCTCCCCTCCATGCAAAGACGAACTGACGCTACATTAATGCGTGCAATTTACATTTTAAATATTTCGAGGAGTGTCCATAAAATCAAAGCTCTTACTATATTTTAGTAATCTTTCATCTGGCCTGCACAAGATAAGTAACGCTGCTTCCGGTGGTTCACAGCTGGTTAGTTACCAGTCACCGTTGACAAGATCACAGTTGAAGCTGATAGCAGGAAAAATGAAGGTACACCCTTTACTATTATTATCTATTATATAATCATTAGTTAATTAGTGTTTATTGTATACTAAATTTTTGTTTTCAGGGTAACAAATTTAAAAAACACATAGTCAAATATAACAAAGAGAATTTCTTGTACACTAGCGATTCTGAGGATTCTGATAAGTTTGTACTAAGCGTTGAAGAAAACATTAATTCACTAAATTTTCAATGAAAATATTTCATAAAACTTTTCAATAGATGTATTTAATTATTTATAACATAACATTACTTTTCTAGGAGCAAACGAAAAAATGAACGCTGACGAGCGTGGTCAATACGCGGTACGATACTAAGATGATGTTTACTTTTAAACACGTGTAAGAATTACGTATCATTATGATCCAGGTATAAGAAATCGTTTTTATGTTTGCATATTTTGTAATCTTTCGAAAAGTTGATTTGATCTATGCTCACACTTTGCAGCTATCCAGATATTTTGACATAATTAGCAGCAAGTAAGAACCATTCTGCACCACCTACCAGGAGTAAGAAATGATTTTGAGTGCTGATTATTATTACATTCTGTAAAATTATTATTTTTTTAAATTATTATTTAAACTTAAACTTAAACTCTTACTTTTTTTATTATTTAACTATTTAGGCGAAAGGCCCATTAGGTACCCAAAAGTCTTACATATTAAAAAGGTAATTATGCAAAAACATTAAATGCAACTTGGCGAACATTTATTATAGAAGCAATTTTTGTAGTGCAAGTATCAGTCGTGTTCGTCCACGGCTAAAGTCACTAAGACGCCTTACTGAAGAGTTCAGCTAGTGGTTGAGAATGTAACGAGTTCGTTTCCAATCCTTTTTTCCTTTAAATTCTCCTTTTTCTTCACCTCTATTTATAAGTGCCAAGTATAAATTTAACGCTTGTAGCAAAATTGTACTTGTGCCGTTGTGTGCACAATGTGCGTATTAAGAGATAATTTTGTAAGAAACGTAGAGTTTGTATTACCATATAAAATAAAACTTACATTACAATAAGTATTACATTTTTATCTAAGTTTTATTTAAAAGATTATCATCAAGAAATAGACACCAAAATAATTAAATTTGATAATACTACTAAGATTTAAAGGACATATAACATTTCTTTTTTCTACTTTAAGGACTTGTTGATAAAATTGTGGTAAAAAAAATTACGTCTTTAATAAATGTTCGAAAAATTGCTTAAAAGTTTTAAAAGATTTAAGAGATAACTCATTGTATTAATAATACCATGTTGGTTATAGAAATTACAAAAAACACTGATTATGAATCAATGTTGTTGAGTCATACAAAAAAGCTTAGGCACATAACGAAGAAAATGAAGGTGAATGTTCTAAGAACTAAATATCTGTATGAAAATATGCGCGTGTATTTTTTTTTTTTATCATAAGTTAATAATTATTCTTTTTAAAGTCAGACGAGATTGATATTTTTAGTTTTTTTTTCATGTCAATTACTTTATTTAAACTTATCTTTATCATCAAGTTACCAAGCACAGTATTCGTTCCTAATAGAAAAATTCAAGTAAACGACGAAGATGTTGCGTAACACTCTGGCTCTCATCACCGAGGAAACATCAAGCTAGACAATCTTCAATAAAGAAGACTGCGTCAACTGGTTTTGGGATCAGTCTGCTGAAAAAGGTCAAGAGTAGCCATTACAGAGGAGATTTTCACAGTGCAGATGACCTAAAAAGCCTAGACGACCGTTTTCACAGACCTTGCGACACGAGAACACTTTTAACAAATGACAGGTACAAGCTGTTAAGTCGTTGAAGATCTGGGGTCTTCATTTTGCTACAAAGATCGAAAAAAAGATTTCTAAGAGTTTTTAAAATTGTTGGGTAACTATTGAGGAGGCGATGCACTATCAGATGTCAAACTGATGAGTATGCTACCTTATATTTTTAGAAAAATAGCCAGATGATTGTATCATGAATTTTAAATTTGGGGCGACTTTAATCGTGACAAGCAACATGTTGTTACAAGCACTGCTCACAGACTAATACAATTATAATAATCTGTTTGATGATTGACACCAGCAGATACGGGAAAAAAATGTCTATCTTTCTGTACAAATTTAGATACATCGTCTCTAGGTTGTTGAGCCATTATCACTCTAAAAAGTTTTCGATCTGTCATACAAAATTTTTTTACCCAAGTACAAGAAAGATATGTACCAGATTATTGGTAGTCTTGAGGACTTCGAAGATTTTGACTTACACTGGGTGTGTCAGAAAGACTTGGAAAGTCCTAAGCATCTCCGTCACCTGCCGAAAAGATGTGAGTTTCAAGAGCCACGTGTACAGTTATCACAATTTAAGTATAGTAGTCGAAATTAAAAAAACATATGAAGTGGTAAATAAATCAAAACAGAATGAAAGGAGAAGTGAGAAAAGAATAAAGGGCAGACAGAAAAAACAAAACAAAAATTTGAAGTCGAGTTCAGTCGCACCACAGCTTACAGAAATTTATGGGGCTAGAGCACAGATAGTGTCCCCAGAGACAGTGACAGTCTACGCCATGTTGGCTTTGATGTAAAAGAAGTTATCTTAGGCTATTAGTAGGGGACCATTAAAGTCAACGAATGAGCCCGTAGGTTTTTAGCTACCAAAGAAGCAGGCTTCACCAAATGCCAGAGTCACTAAACCAGCGTACATAATATTGTGTAATACACACAAAAAAAGTAAGACATAGGATATCGAAGTGCCCAGATCTCGAGCGCTACAACTGTCAACAGAAAGGGCATTTGTCAAATGTGAGCCCTACCTGAAAAATTCAAGTATAGACAGTGTATAACCAAACCCTGATGTTCCAAGTATGATGTCGAGAGGAAACCTGACCTTAGAACAAAGAGATCAACTTTTTCAGGACACCATAATACAAGGGTTGGGAGGAAAGCCGAGTGGTTAGAAAAAAGGAGAACTTTTCTGAAATGCCGGGAGCTGCTTGACGTTGTACTAAGGTGGGTCACTGTTGCCAACAGTAGATGCAAGTGATTGTATGAGGATCATGGGTAGACGAGTTATTATCGAGAAATACACTGCTTGTATGCGAGGAAGAGAGGGAGAGAGAGAGAGAGAGAGAGAGGGAGAAAGAGAGTAACAGGAAGATAATGGGCAAGGTAACGTGAAAGAGGGGGGAGGGGGGAAGACAGAGAAAGGAAGATAAATAAATTTTGAGTGGATATGAAAAAAAAAATTATTTAATTTATATCTTGTATTTCAAGTAAATAAGTATCCTGGTTTCTTGCTTTGCCCGTCTGGTAACCCTAAAACGGAGTATTGACACATTGGATGTGATACTTGCAAGTAGAAACAGTAAACTTCAAAATCCCTTAGCTGGATGACGTTTATGAACAAGATTTTAATTTTGTAACTTTGTAAGATAAATTTTTATTCTAATTTTGTAACTTTGTAGGATAAATTTTTATTCTAATTTTGTAGAAAGATAAATTGATGGATTGATTAACACATTCGTAAGAAGCCAATATTCACAATTATACTTACATCAAATTAGATTATTTTTGTCAAATGTTTAGGTACAGAAATGCTGTGATTAAGAAAGTATAAAGTATATAAAAAATTACCGTAAGCCATTTCCATCATCCCAAAAATAATACTTTGTGTTCATATTCTTTAAATCCAGTACTGAATTTTCTCCACGTAAAATTATTTTGTCCCACAAAATAATCTGAAAAGTAAAGTAAAGATTTATTGTTTTGGGAAATATGTTTATCAATACTTAAAAATAATAAAGGTTTTATTTTATGACTTCCTAGTATCTTTACGAAAATTCTTTTAGGCCTAACATTATAAATATTACCGACTCTCTTAAGGTGGCTCCTCACCCCTATACAGCACGTATTTATAATATTTTATTAAAATGTTTATTGAAAGTTATAACAAGTGTCATTTAGCCTGACAATATTATAGCTAGTGCTAAACATCATGCGATTTTTTTCATAAAATTTTGTTGATAAATTTCTTAGATACCGAAACTTGGAAAAAATTCAACAAATTACTGTAATCTTTTTCAATTTACATCTAATATTTAATTTTTTGCGCTCATTCTCTTCCTTGAACAAATTTATCGGGAGTCACCACGGACGAAATTGCAATAACTTGGATAGGTTTCCCACAAAGTTCAGTTGTTTATATGAGAATACGAAGAATAAGTAAACAAATTAAATTTATGGGAAACCTATCCAAGTTATTACAATTTCGTCCGTGGTGACTCCCGATAAATTTGTTCAAGGAAGAGAGTGAGTGCAAAAAATTAAATATTAGATGTAAATTGAAAAAGATTACAGTAATTTGTTGAATTTTTTCCAAGTTTCGGTATCTAAGAAATTTATCAACAAAATTTTATGAAAAAAATCGCATGATGCTTAGCACTAGCTATAATATTGTCAGACTAACTGACACTTGTTATAACTTTCAGTAAAAATTTTAATAAAATATTCCAAATACGTGCTGTATAAGGGTGAGGAGCCACCTTCAATAATAGCAGTTGTACGAAATGAGTTTTACTTGACTTTTTTGGAACTAGATTTGTAAGAATCAGAATACAACTATTCTGTATGAATCAAAACAATTTTTCATAGGTTGTACGTATACGCAATCACTTTCTAAGATAAATTTGCAATTTACCTAATATCGAACATGGCAGGTTTTGAAAAATACAGGAATAAAAACTAAAGATTCAAAACAAAATAGTTCAACATAGTTTTGATTTTGATCGCTTGAGGAATTTATCAGTGAGACATTCTAGTGCTCATAGCCACAGACAAATAAGACTTATACTTTATACTTATACACATAATACTTGTGTGTCTGCAAGGCAGATACAGCATATCGAAAGGTGTAACAAGGATCTGTACTTTTTTATAAAATAATGTATACTTGAGTCGGTTATCAGACTTATTTTACTAACTATAGGTATACAGAATGGTTTTTACGTGACTCACTATAGTGTTTATGGTACTAGGAATCATAATAAAATTATTCGACACGGAGCAAAAATTTAATTATGCGTTATGCAAGGATGTGACTTATATCTTCATATGTGTACGTAATCCCATGCTAAGTTTAATTTGCACCTAGCCAAACATTTTATTTGGCAGCTTTTGAAAAAATATAAGAAAAGAAAGAAACAATAAGAAATATAAGGGTTGGACGTCATTTCATTGTTAATCTTTAGAGTGCGGCATGCTCATTATCTGAGCCTAAATTATTATATCTGCCTTCTTAAAAGTAACTAATTGGAAACAAATTTAACATAGAATTTATGGATTTTTTATATTTAAAGTCACGTTTAAAATTTTTTTTTTTTACTCTGTGATATTGAATTAATATTTTCGAGGTAAAAAAATATTCTTTGTGTAACATGGTCGTAAAAATTAGACAGCGTGTTAAAAAAGTTTTTATGTGATAACCTCGATTGAGAGATACATTTTTTTTAAGGACTGGGGTTAATTTTTAAAATATTATTATTCTTTTAATGGAAATTCAAGCATTTCTTGAGATTACATTCTAAACCATACCCAGCGATACAAACTGAAGAGCCGAAGAAGGCAACTTCAAAACACGAAAAATTGTTGCCTAAAAATTTGATTCTTAATAATAGTTATACTTTTTTTACCTGTTTATTTATTTTGATATCAAGCGACTGTTAATTAAAATTAAATAGTGCAACCTTAGTTAAGTATGCAGACTTGTTAACAAGTAAATTAGTAACTAAGGAAATAGTATTATAAGTTCCATGTCAGCGAAGAATAATAAAAAGGCCGGAGTGATAGTGTAGGACGAAACGAGTAATTGCTTTGAGAACAAGATTTGATGGAAATTGTTCTAGAAAGTGTTTATGCTATCAGTTTCAGGCCAATTTTGGGTAATGGTGTTAAACAAACGTCTGAGGCGGGGTATAGGGCAGTGGAAAAGGTAGTTAGCAGTATAGGTCTGTTCTGTGATATATCGGGTATTTTTGAGGTTGCATTGAGTATTTTTGACACAGAAGAGTGCACTTTTTTGTGTAATAAATGTGTAAAAAAAATTTTCTACCACAGAGTTCTACACGGAGAGGGAATTTACGGGTTTATCGCATGGAGGGTATCTGGCTGTTAGCGCATGCAGCTCCCCATGCGTCTAAAACGCTAAGCTGATGCGCTGGATGCCAGCCAGTGCTTGTGTTAAGGCTCGTAGAGTGTTACATGCTATCAACACATGTGAGTACACGGCTGCGAACCAAGAAAAGCCGTAGCCGAAACTCATCGACTATGTCCGAGCTGAAAACGCAAGAAGCATGATGGGTTTAACCCATGGTGGCTCTTGCGTTTTGGGTATCAGCTGATAGTTGGCGGCGTTGGCACGAGGCGCGAGCGCCTATATAATGCTATATATACAAATAAATATGTATACATTTAACGCTGTTTCTGTTCTTTTTAGTATTACACATGAGAATGTGTAACAAGTATGAACTTTAAGCGCTATGCAAGTTTTAGAAAGGAAAAAAAAAATTTTAATTAATGTAACAAAATAAAAAATTGTATAATGTAGGAAGTTTTTACTTTCTTTTTTTCTCGCTTGTTTCTGCTGCATGTAATGAGGGAAAAATAAATTAATCGACTATTATTTTGTGCATAGCATTAAAAATTTATTTGTCGTTATCCAAATAAATACTATAAATGCGCATACATTGATATATGAATGAATCTAATTGAATCTTATACGACTCACAAATCATAACGAGTCGAGATAAACTGGTTAGAAATACCACAACATTGAAAATTTTGTGCGAATGCATCATCTTTATATACTTACGTACCAAATTAAATGATTTGCGATGAGATGCATAAGCTAGCTGTTACACCGTTTGTCACTCGTACACAATGCACATCTCGAAATTGCTGCACTTAGTATTTGGAAAGGCTATGAGAATATTGAGAATCATATATACATAACGTGTATACGTATACGTATATAGCAGACTCTTGCGCCAACCATCAGCTGATACCCAAAACGCAAGGAGCATGATGCGTTAAACCCATCATGCTCCTTGCGTTTTCAGCTCGGACATAGTCGATGAGTTTCGGCTACGGCTTTTCTTGGTTCGCAGCCGTGTACTCACGTGTGTTGATAGCATGTAACACTCTACGGGCCTTAACACAAGCACTGGCTGGCATCCAGCGCATCAGCTTCGCGTTTTAGACGCATGGGGAGCTGCATGCGCTAACAGCCAGATACCCTCCATGCGATAAACTCGTAAATTCCCTCTCCGTGTACAGTTTTCTTTATCCAGGATGTTAATGATTGCATGGTTATTGCTGTAAACGGTTTTTTACTTGATATAAAGAGAGATTTTATGACACCTTCCAACACTGACGTGGCTTCTAAATAATTTATTAAGGTTGTTGCATACTTTCGTGTCTTTCTTAAAATAAGATTGTAACAGTAGCGTTGGTAGCTTTCTGTTTATTCCTGACATTTTAATTATATCTGAAATTTAAATCTCGACGCTGTCTTTTTTCTTTTTTATTTTTTCGGTTCTTGAAAGAGCGAAAGTTTGCATCCGGTGACCTGTAGTTAACGCTAGCAACACGATTAATTTTCGTGCTACCTCATTGATATCTCATTTTTTTCTTGAGACCAGTAGAAGTCCAACACAGTTTTTGGGTTCCAAATTGAGCCATATTTCGACTTAACTGGTCCTAAATGATTTACACCCTTAAAACCGTTTTGGTCATTTATCTTGGCCGACTTGAGGACCGATAAGTAAACTTATTGCTGATCTGTAACCTCCTATTATAGAGATGGATACTGCTTCCTTTTAAAATATTTTTGTTAAAAATCTAAAATACTACGCTGAATGGATTGATGTTACTTTCTGCACAGATAACCCACCACTTTTTCAAGTAGTTGGAATATTGTTTTAAAGATTAATCCATTAGTAAAGATAAAAAAATTTCTCAATCTAAATGCTGTATTGATAATATTGCGGCTATGAGGGTAGTTTTTTTCCAAATTGAAGCCGCTTAAGTATAAGAATAACAAAATTATTTTTAGTTTTTAGTTGCAATGGTTGGGAGTCCAGAATTGAGTAGAAAAGAGGGTACCAAGGCTCAGTCAGCCAGTCTAGTACAACCATAATACCTCATGTTTTTTATTTTTCGCACAGTTTTTTGAATTACTGAGCATAAAGGGAACGCATAGCAAAAGTAATCACCCCAAGGGATGAACGCGTTTATAGCATAAGACTTTGGATCTCATCTCTAAGAGATATATATTTTACATTTGGCATTCGCACGGCTGGCAAAACATCTATATCTGGATTACTAAAGATACTATATACATTTTCAAAAGCTTTTTTGCTCAAGTCGATTTCAGTATTGTATTTTAATCGACGAGATTCTGCGTCACCTCTTTATTCTCCTTTAATGAAATATGTGTAGAAAAAATCCAAATTCCCCTTTTTTAACACTATTGCCATGCATACCTGATTATCTTACCATATTTTTTGAATTTAATACCTTCCATTTGGCTTATTTATGAGATGGAAGTAGTACTTTCAATGTGAAAAAGAATTTGATAGTTTTCTACAAGGTTGGCAAAAGTAAAGCTGCCATTAATTCTAGTCAATTAATGGAAAAAACTTTTTCATTTTCCTTCTGATGACCAAAAGCTCTTTTTTCTTTT